ATATATATATATATATATATATATATATGAAGCAAGTTTTATACTTACTACGGATTTATATTAAATTCGTTGTTGATTTACAGTAGAAAAAAAAAAAAAACTGTTATGTACTTACATTGCAAAAGCTTTTACACTATCCTCCAATTACATGCATGTAAGTAGTGAGTTTGCTGATTTTACGATAAGCATTTTAAAAGTGATACTTACAATAATTTCTAGTTCACAGTGCATATAATAATGCTCCCTTTCTCTCAAAATGATTGTAATCTAAGGTTTCTCTTCCTGGAATTAAGAAAAAACAGAAAGTATCACTTAAACTATTATTTTTAAAAATAACTTCGCCAAGATAGTGATATATAACCGGTAGTGTAATTTATTTGAGGACAAATTAATAATAATATTGATACTGATATCAATGATAACAAAATAACTCCCTGACCGCTTCAGAATTTGGTGATTCTGGTTTTGGGGCAGTCCCAGATTCATCATCCATCAACCCATGTACTCTAAACACCCGACGAGAAAGCGACGGTGCTGCCACTATTGCACAAAATCTTGACCTGAAAGAAAAATGTTAGGGTTCAATCTGTAAAGAAAGAAAAGGGGGTTTTGATGGAAAACTAACCTAGGGAGGCTAATAGAAGGATTGAAGCAGATAGAGCGAACATGTTTAGGGGTTTTATGGTAGAGAGGAGGAACAAACACAGTTCCACTGTACAGTGCGCTTGCCGCCATTGATAATTAGTTTGTATGAAAAAATTCTCAGAGTGAGTTTGTGGGAAATAAGAGAGGGTACAGTGATTTTATATATTTTTTTTCTCAGATTTGAACCCTAGTGTTTTCATTTTGTCTTTTATTTGAAATTTAAAATTCGACTTTACTATTTCTTTAAAAAAATATTAATCTTGAAATTAATTTATATTATAATTAAAATTATTAATTGTAAATATAATTATGTGTTTAAAAAACTCGTTATAAATTTTAATTATATAATAGTAAATATTTATATTTTAAATTGAAACTTACTGTTCACATACTTTTAAAGGGAAATAATATTTTCAAATTAAAAAAAAAAACGAAATATATAAAAGTGTGTTTGTTTAAAATACTATTAAATAAAAACTCCTTGGAAATTGAGAAGTTTGAAATTTTATAAAAGAAATTAAAAATAAATAATTGATTCAATACAATAAATATTGATATATTTTATTTTTTATTTAATAAAAAATAAAAAATTAAGTTTTAATACAAACGTTTTAATTATCTTAATTTTATTCTAACTTTGATAATAATCAAGATAATTGAACATGTTTGATCTTGATTGTTGTTGCATGTGTGATTAGAAAAAAGTTTATATATAATATATGACACATACCAAGGCTTAAACATGTGGCAATTATCTTAATCATTCAAATAAAACTTTTTATTAATATTGTAATTTTTCTTATTATATGAAAATAAAATACATCAACATTTATTGAACCAAAATTATTATTTAGTGATGAATCTACTATTTACTTAAAAAATAATATATTCTACGTATTAATACTTTCAAAAATAATAATTATAATATGATTAGCTTAATCTTTAATTTTATGTTGTAGTTTTAAAAAGGAAAAGTTATTTTAACCTCACATTTATTTCAATTTCTTTATGTATACTTTTATTGTTTTAAATTGTAAATTACTATATTAAAAGTACATTTTCAAAAGTATAAATGTTATAATTATAAATTAATTACAAATAAGATCAATTTTTATGATATAAGTAAGTTTAAATCTCACTTTACACAAGTTTTGTAAGATTAATTAAGTTTAAAGTTTATTTCTTAATATGGTATTAAAGATATAAGTTAAATCCTATTCTTTGATAGGCTCCCCTTCAAGCTAGGTTGAGCCAAAGCATAAAGATGAGATCATGAAAGTGAGATTAACGCGGAAACAATGAATGAATGGAGATGATGTTCTCGATTTATGAGTGTTTAGTGGGATAAAGGTTTTTGATAGTTCTCTTGAGAGGTTGAGTCAACTTTAAAGAATGGTGGCTAAAGGAGACCACATGGGATACTCTAGTCTTGATCAAAGTAGACCGAAATCCTAAAATGTTATCTTGCACCAAACCCTAAAAATCCTATCTTAGTGAAGGAGAGTTTGACATGTGGCACTCTAACTTTTAGAAAAAAATTTCACTCTAGAACCATAAGAAAAGTCACTTTAGCAAAAGTTCTTCACTAGGAAAATGACACATGACCACTACCTTTGTAGGAAAACTCTCTATTAAGAGCTTGTCATGTGGAAAGTCACTTTAGCAAAAGTTTCTAAGTAGGAAAATGGCACATAGCCATCACCTTTGTAAGAAAACTCTCCACTAAGAGCTTGCCATGTGGAAAGCTACTTTAGCAAAAGTTTCCAACTAAGAAAATGACATATAATCACTACCTTTGTAAGAAAACTCTCCACTAAGAGCTTGCTATATGGTCACCATGACTCGTATGGGACACCCTAAGCTAGGGTTATAAAACTAATCACCCAAGATTAGCTTAAGCTAGACTCAAATATTGCTCTATAACTTAAGCAAAATTGTTAAAAAACTCTTCACTTGGTCCTTAATACAAGGCTTATATACTTTTAATCTACTAGAGGTGTTCCATGATGACCTAAGAGAAAGAGCTTTCTTTCACCTTGTATAAATGACTTTAATTCTTCTTGAATATGCTTAGACCATGGCTAGGAGGTATGTTATCACTATTATGAAATCACAAAAAAACACTAAAAGGAGGGGTGAATAGTGTTTTTAAAATTCTTTCACAAAGTAGCATCTAATGGATTGTAAGAGACATATAATTTAAATAAGATTTTTAGACGCTGATTTTTATGAGGTATGTATATAGCAAACATTTCAAAACGCAAAGATACAATAATGGAGATAATTTTCCATTAGATCACATGCACTGTGTCTTGATTAGACGGATTACTATTAACAACTTTAATATAATTTTTTCTTTAATAATTTATTTTTAATAAATTTATTATATTTTTTCTTATTCCACTAGCAGTTTGAATAGTGTTTTGAAAAATAAAAACAACAATGTAAGATAATTTTAAAAAGTATTAGGGATATTTAAAGAAAAAGAAAAAGTAGTAGGAATCAAAAGCAAAATCCAATTAATTATCAAAGATAAAGATGTCTTTCAAGTACTTAAAATAAAATGTGGAATACTAGATAGGTTCCATTTCACCTTATGATAACTTTGGTGGGTTCTTGATTACATTGTGAACGATTTCAGTGACACGATGATGACAACAATGAAACATTGATATATAACAAAATGATATGCTTCACCGAATGCATTTCTCAAATCTTCATGTAAAATATTTCGGACCAATTGCAAGAGGAATAACTCAATTATCCTAAAGCATATTAACCCTAACAATTTTATTGGAGAACATGCTATTTTGCTTTCCCATCTTCTTTAATAGTAAATTATACATAATGTGGTGGATGATAATAAGGGATCTAAAAAGTAGATGACAAAAAAGTGGAACAACACTTTTTCATTAATTTTCTATTTCTTGTTAATGAAAAATTGTGTAATAGAATTGAGGATGATATCAGGCAAATAAACCAAATGAAATAATCAAGTTGATCAATATTACATCAACTTGAAGGAAGACATAAAATCTTTTCCTTGAAATACTTGTCTTGAAGCATCCCCTACCCTCGAATAAATCACCCAATGGCTTTATTATTAGTCTTCTTCATCAACTTCATGAAAAGGAAGTGGTACTATCTTCACTGCTCTAAACTTGCCAGCATTATTTAGATGCTCATTCTCCAATCTGCACCAGAAAAATACTATTTTTATGATGTGTTTTTGTGTAAACTTCACGTGACTGATAGACAGTTTGTAATGGTAAAACGAATCTTGAGTTAAACTTAGTCTCACAATGAAAGACAAATGTATAAATTATAAAATATGAGGACTAAAATCTTGTTTTTCAAAGACAGGGACTAATTTTGACAGAAAATTTGAGAAACCTGGTTCATATCAGACAAAGATTATGCATGTATGTTGTGTTCCATGAGTGAAAATAATTGCACTTTAACTCATTTACCTGAAGAAATTCCATAGCCCTCGTCTAATTACTTCAAGAGATGCTAAAAATAAGCATGTAACTCGATAATCAACATTTTCAAAACTTGAATGAAGAACAGTTTGCAACCAAGCAAGCCTCAGAACAAGATTTAACCCCTGCATAAATTGCAAAAGTTTTTCATGGTCAACGTGTGAAAGTGGAGGGCCCATATTTATAAATCTGAAAGGAAATAATAATTTGCTCCTATAATGTGTGGTTTTAGCATCAGGCAAAAATTTAACCTTCTGTTGTTATCTTTTGTCCTTTTTTGATCTAGATTTGGAATCTCACTTTAATTTGTGTAATGGCCCTATCAGCATTTCTTTTGAGAATATGTTTATTCTCCACTTTGTGACTTTTTATTATCATGAACACCAAATAGTATGGTTGATGTGTTCTTTGGTTAGATTACGACAATTAGCATGTTTGTCTAAAATTTTGATGAGTGAAGGTAGGTTTTGGGTGCCAATTGCATGCAAATGGCCCACACTACAGGCTCCTAGGTGAACAGATAGAGAGGGGCCTGACATGTACCATTGAGAAGTAGTAAATGGCTTTTCTGTGAAGCATTAATTCATTCCTTAACCATGGATTCTTGGAATTCATTTGAAGCAAACCCCAGTCTTTTACAAAGTCCCAGTACAATTGGTACATAGTTGCTGCACTTGACATTATCACCAGAACACAGAGCCATACTACACTCCCATCTTTCTCATAAGCCACTTTGGCACCAGCTGCTAACATTGCTGATACATATTTTCCCAGATTCACAAGGTGGCTTGTCTGCCCTTCATCAACCCATCTCCTAGTACACTGCAAAACATCAGTTATAGGACACATCAGTTCTACCCTTTTGGATTGGATACCATGATATGCTTCAAAGGAAGAAAAACACAAATCTTTTTAAAGTAAATTGCAGTTTCATTCCTTAAGGGCTTTTGAGATTACCATGAACCTTGTTTTTTTAGTGGTTATTGCAGGATAATGAAAAGGGTAATGTAGGAGTCAAAGAGTGAGCAGTATCATGAGAAACTTTGCTGAACCTTAAGAAGTGTTGATGTAATTTACTCAATATTTTGTTTTACCTGCATAGCTCTCCAATAGTAGGGGAGAAATGACACTGCATAAGCTAGATCTCTATAGTGCTTTGTCCTCATGCAGTATCCATAGTCCTGAGTTTTATAGCTACCGGTTATATAGTAACATGCCACGTACTCAAGGCTCCTGAGCATTGGTACCTGAAAAATAATGATACAACTGTTGAATAAATATTACATTTTCCCCTTAGAGTAAAAAGCTATTCATTAATGGTAATGAAAAATCTTCACTACCTGACTACAAAGTTGATCAGCCATGAAAAAATCCAGCATGACAACCTAAAAAGAAGAGAGAAGCCAAATTGTTTCATTGAACATTTTTTCACTTTTTGGACAATTAGTGCTACTGTGTGTTGTGCCTGATGACATGATTCTACAATGATGATAGTGGGAAACACTACCTTGTAAAGGGGTGACAAAATTATGTTTCTTATCACACAAAGGAAGCGGTAACGGCTTGACCGGTATATAATGTTGAAGGGGCACACTAGTATTAATAAGAAGCCCTGCAAGTGCAGTAACAGTGTTAAATTTTTCAGCTGAGCTTACTA